TCGGCCTGATTCTGGACGCCTCTGGCGGCGGCGGCGGCGGCAACAGGGCCACGTTGCTCCGCGCTCGGCCCCGCCTCCTCCTCGCCGCTGGATTTCCTCGGAGCCGGGCGGCCGAGCTTTCCAACTTTCCTCGGCACAGAGACCCGCAACGGCCCGAGGATGCCCGCCGTCCTGGCGTTCCTCGCGGTGGGCGGCTGCTTCCTGGCCGTGGCCGGGGTAGGGAAGCCCCGGGCGCGCCGCGAGTCCCTCCGCCTCGCCGACGAGGGTCTGCAGTGGGGCTGAGAGGAAGCGCTGCTCGGAAGCGGGAGGGGGCATTTCTCCGCTGGGGATGAGTCGCGAGAGTCTGCCGATGACGGGCGCGGGGAGCGGGGCGCGGGGCGAAACTCGGGACGTTGCGGTTGGTGGCGCCCGGTTCAAGGGCGAGCTGTTGGAGCGATTGCGGTAGTCCTTCTTTTGAAAAGAGACCCTTCCTGGCTCTGAATCCGGAGGTGAGCCATTCCCCACCCCACTCAGAGAGAAAGAAAAAAAAATCTTTCTAAACTTTCCAGAATCACTTCTCCGGATAATGTTGTATCTCCCAAAGGAACGGAAAAACAGCAAGTGAAGCAGTATCTCCAGCATCAGTTTCATAGCAGATCAGTCTTCAGACAATTAAGGCTGAGCGTTTAATGCCCATGGTCCGGTTTAGTGTGTTATTAAACTTTGGGCATTATTTGAAATCTTCATGCCTCAACAGCTAGGAGGCCGTCACCACAATTGTTAAGTGCTTGTGTTTCTCTCCTTGTAAAGAACAATTTGAATCTCTGTCAGGCAAAATCAATGCTGTTAGCGAATGCCATATCAAGTCTGCAGTTTAAGATCGATTCCCTATAATTTTCTTTCCTTCAAGTCCAAGAATGGTTGAACTGTGCTCTTTGGAGCTTTAGGTCCTCCTTATTCCTGTCTGGTGGCTTATCCCATGTCCACTGGATATTCTGCTGCAGATTGCTCTGTCAGTGCCCCTTCCTGTGGGAAAACAGCCAGAGCTGTTTCACTCCCACAGAGGAGTAGCTTTACTTCTCTGGGGCTGGAATATCAGATTCTCTTCTGTGTTGCATTTCATTCTGACCATGTGCTGTTTTGGGCTGTGGCCACTGCTGCCTCTTGCGGCAGGTCACAGTAGATGGAACCAATGGGGGCATCTTCAAAGAGAGGGGTGCAGTAGGGGGTTCAGTCAACTGCAGAAGAGGCGGTGCATATGGAATAGACCAAAGCCAGGGGGAGGATCTGAAATCGGGTGCCTGATCTTTAGCATGAGACAAGGTTTCTCTGTGAAATATTACAGGCTTGTCTGAAATTCTGGGGGATGACAGAGCAGTAAGAGTGGTAACATAACCTGCTCGTTTTGAGACAAGCTTAGAAAGATGGGTTAGAAAAGACTGAATGAAAAGTGAAAGTACTATAAAACCTCACATACATTCCACGGGAGTTCTGCACCTTTGTGAGACAATCTTTTTATTCACTCAGGCTAACTGATCTCATGAGGCTGTTGTAAAGATGTAAATTAAATGGCTTTATTTGCAACAGCCTGATTTATAAAAATGTTTAAGTTTCTAATTTTAAAAAATCTAAACAAAAATTGAACACATCGTAGCTATATTTTCTGCAATATGAAAAGCAATTCCAAAGAATACAACATTGGTAAACAATGTTAACAGTGTTGGCAAAACTTCCACTGTTGTGGAATGCATTTTTGTGATGATGGTTGAAATCCTTGGCTAGCAATCCTATTTACATTTACTAGGGAATATAATTGGACTAAGTAGCAGAAATTTAAGAATTGTACTGTTATTACTTTATAAACTACATAATAGAAATAAATGACTTGGAATAATTTCAGCTACTAGCAACTGAAAGACCAACTTCTTTGCAAGTGGAAAGAAGAGAAATCTGAACTTTATATCACCATTCTCTTACTCTTTCTTTCACTCAATTCCATCTTTGATACGGTTACCTTTATCAAACCTTTTCTCTCTCCTCTTCCCCCCCCCCCATTTATTACATATTCACTGTCCTCTTTAAAGCTTTCTCTTTAATGTCTTTAGAATTTTCTTTGCTTCAGTAGGAACTAGTAAAACAAATCTGAAAAAGTGGGTCTGTTTTCCTGAATAGCAGAGAACTGCTGTGCTTGCGCAAGATCTAAAATCATTTTCAAAGGGTGTACACCCTTAGTTCTGAATTAGCTAGAAAGTGTTAAGGAAGAGGAGGAGAGGGAAAGATGAAACATGGGTAACAAAAGAAAAGCATCTTTTCTTTTGCTAGGATGAGGTCAAAGACTTCTAGTGTGCCCCTGAGATAGGAAAATAGAATTTATTTGGAATCCCTTGCCAGTTTTGGTTGGTCAGTGAAAAACAAGACACTTTATTGTCCCATAGATTTTTTTTTTCCTGTTGGATCTTCCTTTCTTGCTAAAGTTGGCACATTTTTCTACCACTTACAACTGCCAAATAGCTAATGAGCAGGTAGGGCAGCATTCTCCAGTTTGGCTCCCCCCAATTTTGTGACTACGGGATAAGAGACCCAAGGCAGCCCAGCCCCATGTAACAGAACACATGGAGTTCCCCCCAGACAGAGCTGCTAATTGTTCTTGTTAACTGCTTCCTCCTCCACGAAGCCAAGTCTGGCAGCAGAAAGTGTGTGTGCCGGGTGACCCCAGGCAAAAGTGGATGGTAAAAGATATGCCTGTGCCAGCAAGGCAAACAGGAAGTAAATTCCTTCGTGAAGCAGGAGAGCTAAGGAGAGGCTTGAGCTGGCAGACTCATATATGCGTGGGGAATAAGAAAGGTTGCTATCCTCCCTTTGGTAAGAGAGAAGCTACTACTGGCTTGGAAATTGCTCAAGTAATCAGCTGGCCTTGGATGATGTGCCTGCTACATTCAAACTTCTACCTTTTGTGAAAGGGTCTGAATGTTTGATTAGCAGATGCCCCTCTCTTGCTGTGGTCGAGCTCTGTATGTACAACAAAAAAGACTGAGCTGAATGCCAGTACTGGACACAGGGGCTAGAACTGTAGGAATCCATAGAAAGATGAATCTGTGCTAGATCATCCCCCCTTGATACTTAAGGTAAGCCGTGGCAGTTTTCATTGCCGCTTGATTTTGCCAGCGCGAGGTCAGAGAGAGCTTTCTTGGCTTGGGGAGATTTACAGTGCTAACTGAACTTTTCAACAAGCATTTAGAGATGGGTAAGTGGCAGACCAGATAGGTCATTCGGAGTGGGTCTCACTGCTAAACATTGCTGCAGGAAACCTGGTTCCATTCAGTCTCTTTCTTGGATTAGTACCGTAGTAACGCTGCTTGCATTGGGTTATTTGAAACAAGACAAGTGACATGCAGGTGAGCTTTTTCTTCTGCTGCTTGATTTAAATGCCTGAAGCTATTGTGGACTCATATGAACTCACCCTTGATAATTCTGCATGAATTCTAGACAATTAAAGAGTTGTGTGCACAAAAAACAGAGAGGAAATCACCTGGAGAGATGCACACTGAGTGTAATAATTACATCATTACATTCCAAGAGAGGTCATACATGTATGACTTTACAATTCATTTTGTCTTTTTCCAACTTTAAAACTGCTGTGAGAGCCGAGCCCAGAGTTCAACTTCAAGTAGAGGTTAAAACTATGAATAGATGCAACAAATTCCATTGTGAGATCTCGGCATTCCAGAGGGAGAGCCCACTGTAGTCTACAGGAGGTCTTTCCTGCCTGCTTTGAGTGCTGGATCTGTGTGAATGTGACAGGCGGATTTAAAGCACATTTTGAATCTCATTTGGTTGGCTCCAAGAAAACACTTCTGTAAATACTTCTGTTCTGGTTGTTCTGCTAGACCTTGAGTTGAGATGGATGGGGTTGCTTGTTGGGTGTGCCTTGGTTATTTTTGTTTATGTCTATAAATAATATTCAGATCCCATTTGTCTTGCTTTTTATTGGATTTTTTTTTTTAATGGTAATGTTTGCTGGCCAGAATCAGTTGGAGTCGGCTGGCACCTAAATTGAATGAATGAATGAATGAATGAATGAATGAATGAATGAATGAGATAGATAGATAGATAGATAGATAGATAGATAGATAGATAGATAGATAGATAGATAGATAGATAGGCTGGAAGTTTTTAATCCCATGGAATGTTTCTACTGACTAAATGGGGGACTAAATAGTTTTCTTCTGCAGTCCCTTAATCACTACTGAAAATCTGTATTGATATATTGGGGGAGTAAATGTTGGGGGCTACAAATAGAGTCTGTAAGAATTGTTATCTTTTTTTTCTACCTTCTAAGAATCCTAAGAGAAACTTCACTCTGATGCTGCTATTAGATCCAGTCCACTATATTTTGCATTTTCTCATATTTGAACGACTAGAATATCCTGCCCAAGGTAATTGGAAAATATATATACACACACACACACACACACACACACACACACATATACATACACACATACACACATACACACACACATACTGTGTATA